CGAACATGGTTAAGAAAACTATAATTTTTAAATCGAATAAAATGCGAATAGTCGAATAATATATATAATTAACTTTTGACAAAATAGATGAAACGTTATAGAATTGTTATACAGATAATAATAACTTGACAAAACTGTCTCTGGCAAATTCATTAACCAATAACTGTATTAAACAATAACAACAATAAACAATAACTTTAATTTTATTTGTAATTCTATTTAACCAGTTAACTGGGTATGACGAAATATCTCTTTCTTTCATCTATAGTATGTTATAAAATATTTTGTCGAATTAAATAAAATCAATAAGTTAAAAATTAAAATTATAATAAAATTATGAAGAAAAAGTCCCCAATCTGAAACCAGTTAAACAAAATTTTATTTTCCGGTTGATATAGATTAATATAGTTAATATAGATTGGATGAAAAATAGTAATAAGTCTAATATCAGAGCTTCTTCTTGAACTTTCTTCAAGGTTCAATATAGTTTTAACAATCAATATATCGGCGTCGCCAGTCAGTGTGTTAAGTGCAAATATCATATTAACGGGAAAACGTAACTGTAAGTTTGGAATTTTCACAGATGTAAATTCAATTTTCGTGTTTCAACTCATGATTCGAAAAGGGATCTTTATCTCTGTAATAGTAGCTTAACTTAGCCCATACACAAAAAAATATAGAAAAATTTGCTTTTTGCGATATCCACAAAAATTTTTTAAATTCACTTGTCGAACTTTACACAGCACCTACATATATTATAAATGTTCAATTGTAATATAAAGGCCACCATATTTGTCTAAAAAATTTCCTAGTATTAGACGATGAAAAATAATTTACACTAAGGAACAATGATTAATTAATTTTTAACTAACCATTACATAAACATAAATTCTCAATGAAAATTGTATGACAATAAATCAGAAGAATAGATACTTTAGGCATTTTTATTTAAACAGACATGAGTAAATAATGCGAAATAAATCAATAAAACCGAAAGACTAAAGGAGAAAGTAATTATAATAGAAAAAAAATTCTATAATACTCTTTAAAAAAAAAATACAATTTTTTACTGCATGTTAAACATCATAAAAAAAGTTTTCTTTAATAGACAAATTACAAAAAATTTAATCAAAACATGGAGGCAATGAGACCATTAGCCAAAGTCAGCTGTAGGTATTGACATTGGTTGATTTCTATATCCTCACATCTACGATTAAATCAAATACATACGATTCATATTCATAAAATATAATTCGTCCTTAAACGTATCTTCGTCAATTATTATTATACTATCAACTATTATAATTTGAGTACGTTACTGATTTATCTCCATGATTCTAGGACAATTGAATATATTTTATCAAAACAGAAGTCTTTTTACCATTTAACTGTTAAATTAATTCTTCAATAGTTCAATTTCCAGAATTCAGACAGCTATGAACTGAAAATTATTTTCTACCTTATTTAGTTGAGATCTTGTAGGCAGTTTATTTAGACTCGTACTTAATTATATATTTTATGACTTGGGTTTATAAATCACATCTTATTTTAACGATTGTTTTTCGTAAATTTAGAGGTAAATCGCGATCAAGAAGAAATTTTCTCAGTATGCCACCAGATCACTGAGCTATCCCGCAATCCTGCCAACTATACAAGTGACGGCTATGGCAAGTAGAGATATAAAGAAGTAGCAGCCGTCGCAACCTTGGAACATCGCAGATCGATCCTAGAGGTCAAGGACGGTTAGAGTCAAGAGGTGTCGGTGCCTATCAGTCAGGGGGAGGGGAGGGAGGGAATAGAATGTGCCTTCTCGATAAGTTGCGACATTTCATTCAATCATTCAGTCATCTTAGAGCAGGGAGTGTGAATGAAGTACCTACTCAAGAGTCAAAACTGAAATGAGAACAACTAATCGATTCGTACACGTAACGTAATCGCACACATGCTTTGTATATTTTGATTGTTAATCAACAAATTGTTGAACCAAGATAATTTTAATAATAATAATGCTGGGACGAGTCCCTTTAGAATAATACAGAAAGACAAAAATGTGGCCTAAGGAGCCTCAGAGATAAATAAACAAAAATATAGAGCAAGTGAATAGTCAAATGAAAAAAATAAAAGAAATTATAAGTTACTTTCTAATTTAAATCAGTTAATAATAAAAAAAAATGAAAAATTGAAAATAAACATGAAGTAAAAATAATGAGGAACGATCTGATAATTTATATACTTATTTACAGTAGTAACTATTTACAATTTCATAGGGACTGGATGAATAAGAAATTATTGAACAGCCGGGTTTTAAAGGTAGGAAGGGTTTTAGATTCACGGATGTCGGGAGGGATCGAGTTCCATAGAGACGAGGATCGGATAATAAACGATCTGTCGAAAGCAGCGGTTCGGTGGGCTCTTATGTGTAAATCAGAAGACCGGGAACGAGTATTGATGGAACGAACAGAAAATTTGAATTGAAGGAGCTCGGAGATGTATGAAGGGCGGTTGGATTGGATGGCTTGAAAGAGGAAGGATGCGAGGAAATACTTACGCCGATAGCAAGGATAAAGCCACTTCAGCTCTGCATAAAAACAGGAAACAGAGGGGTCTCCTTGGGATCACGAAGATGAATCTTACAAAGCAATTTATCAAACGTTTTAATTTTTCCTCGAGATCCCCAGAGACACCCCATATACCGTACAGCAATAGTCAAAGTGAAGAAAAATTAAGGAAGTTACTAGGAGCCTGCGGGTTTCAAGGGGAAATAGGTGACGGGAAAATTTTAGACGTTTTAAGGTGGAAATGGTATGACAAAATGATTTTCGTATTTATTTATACTTGTATAAACACCAACGAGAACTCTCACTTTAAATAGCAAATCTTATCCTTGATGATTTCGATGGATAAGAGACATCAGCGTTTTAAATACAACTTATCCCGTCTCGATTGTATCGAGTATATCGATTAAATTGTAGTTGCAGAAAGGCATAGCTTCTGACATTGATTTTCATCACATCTTCATGAAATTCTCTTTCATCTTCTTCAAAATACCAATGACACAACATTCTTCAAAATACATCGCCTCGAAGAGCCAGAAAAGGAAACTTTACTACCACATTATATAGATAGATAGATAGATAGATTCTGATAATTTACAGAAGATAAAAGATTTAAAAAATCGAATAAATTTCAGCACGAATACTCAATAATTACAAATATAAATCTTCGGGGAAAAAACTCTACCATTGCTAACATCGACTCAGACAGAGCAAAAGAAGTAGAGGCAAGGCAAAACGTTACAACCAAAACAACTCTCGAAATAAACCGTCCTTCATAAACATGCAGTTTACAACCCTCAATACCTCTTATTCCGCTAAATTCTTATCATCACTAAGAGTTTGATGCTTCTAGCTCCTTCAAAATAAACAGCTATTAACTTTGAGAGTGCACGTGTAACTGTATAAAGCCATTGGTCAATTAGAGGAGCTTCCAATTGGCCGTCCCAAGGGGAGGGGGTGTCTTTATCGCCTCAATAAAAGCAGGCAATCGTGATAAAGAACTAGCAATGATAGCAGTACCTCACTCACAAGAGGCAAAAATTTAAATCGTGGCAGAAAATACTTGACGGTAATAGAATATATTTAAAACGGGACGAATTAAATGCTATATTAGAAATAAAAAGAAAATAACCTTGATGATAATAATGGAAAAATAATAAAACTACGCGGGACGTTTCGATCCAAAAATTTGATTCATCATCAAGGACAAGAATTCTGGAGTAACATCAAGTAGAACTCTCAATCCTAGGAAGGCTATTTCAAATTTATATTTAGTTTTCATCATGTTATTTTCGGTATTTATTAAGTCAATGTAACTTGAATACTGTCTTAAAAAATAAAATTTCTATATTGAATGATTCGATATATGTATAACATGTACATGTGTATCATCAATAAACATAAATCTTCAATTAAGCAGTAATACCTCGTAAGTTCTATAAAAAATAATACCTAAATATTGTTTACAGAAAAATTAAGCCAAAATAAAAGGCAAGGATAGGAGATGTCTCGAAAATAGGGTGCTGATATATATATATTTAAATTTTTTTCTAAATGAATAAGCGATTAAGTCACTCATCATACTTAATTAAACAGTCGGTTTTAAAAAAGAAAAAAGAATAAATAAGAAATAATTATTTATTTAATTAGAAGACCAACGAATTAGTTAACAGTATTCAGTTCATTGACGTACGTAGGGTCAGTCCCATTCGTATTTCCTAACCTTAACTTCGGTTTTAAGGTCAATTATTTATTAATAATTAATAATGTATATACATATAAAGAGAGAGGGAGAGAGATTTCCATTACACACAAAATTTAAATGATTGAAAGGAAAATGAAAATATGATTCCACTTAAATAAATAATCATATTTATTCCTCCCCCCAACCTCCGATCCTTAATTTCATTAACTTAAGAAAGTATTAAATAAGGAAGAAAATTTTGCAGTCTGATGGTGGGATTAGGTACTGACACATGTTAGAATTTTCATGTAATGTTGTTTAATTCAATAAATCAATCAATGAAAATTCAATAGCAGCAACAGTGAATTTGTGTCACCTTAACAATATTGGAACTTGTTCACCGAGAAGTAAAAAGTATTTATCTAAAATAAAAAATGAAATATTGGAAATTATAAATTTATTTCGCGGATCCATAGCATAATTTTTAGGTTATTAAGTTATCAGGCCGTGTAAATTAGGTTATAAATAACAACTAACTCATTACATTATAAAATGTTTACTGAATTTCGAATTAAAGTAGAAATACACCTGGTTTAGTTGAGAGAGTAGTGAACACGTGGATGGAAACCTTAAAATAGAGAAAACAAACAATCGCTTCCTTGAGATAATACAAACTACTAAAAATCGATAAAAGAAAATAAGCTATTGATAAAGTATAGTAATAATGGATACAGAGAGAGAAACAACCATTAGAGGCAAAGATGGAAGAACCGAATGAGTTAGGCCCGGCAGTATTTGCAAACACCTTTTGTAAACTTCTTCTACACACATCCGGTGTCGGTTCAGCAAACTGCCGGGGTCACACTGCCTTCCATAGGCCTTTCCGGTCCAGCGAAAAGCTTGTTGAGGTCTTCCAGTATACGCGAATCACTGACCAGTACCAGCGCGGTGGGGGTAGGGGAAGCGGAAGGTAAGAGAAGCCTTACATTTGCTACAAGCATTTAAAAATATAACCAGGTATCTTTTTTTTTCCTTTGCCTAGACTGATATATAAAGCTAAGGTTTGTTTAGAGTTAAAGTTATTGAAGGAACTATCAGCCCGATTTGAAAAATGCTTTTGGGATAGGTAGATTGTTTACTGAGGGAGGCTTTAGTGCATTCTACAGGAAGGAAGAACAGCTCGGGAACAAACTTTTACACATATTGGAGTAGACTTAATAGAAGACTTTTGTTTTTACCGAGAAGACAATATTGGCTTTTCTAGATAGAATGTGGATAAAAGATAAAAGGAAAGAAAGAACTGAAAAAAGAAAAGTATAAAGCAGAGGGAAACCACAATAAAGAGTACCCAATATCAAGGTGTACCTCAACTTTGCCTCACTCTCTTCTATAAACTATTTTATCTTGACCACAATCATTTCTATATAATATGACCTCTTATATTTTAAAAATATATTCCAATTTTTTATATTATAAGATTATATCTAGTCTATTTAAGGTCTTTAAGGAATAATGTAGCAATTCATGATTATATACAAATCAATCAGTACCGTTTTCCAATGGGAAAATTATTTAAGGGTGATAAATATTGAGGAAGCAGTCATTATAAAATTTTTATTAGTGCCAACGTTTCAACCCAAAAATGTGGGTCATCATCAGGGCGTGATTCGAGCACTGAAGATATTTAAATAGGTTAGTATTTGAATATCTTCAGTGCTCGAACCCCGCCCTGATAATGACCCACGTGTTTGGGTTGAAACGTCGGCACTAATAAAAACCTTTTAATGACTGCGTACTGAATATTTATCACCCATGATACATAGAACAGTCGACCAATAATGAAAATATTGTAGTTACTATCAAAAGGTACCGCCTCCGATGGTTAGGCTGTGTAGATAGGATGGATGAAGATAGGTTTCCAGGGAAACTTCACTATAACCGCCCAAGGGAAGACACCAGCTGCGGTTTATCGACGAGGTAGGGGAAGACCTCAGCCGTACTATATAAGAAGATGAAGAAGAAAACCTATCGATAGTGAAGTCTGGCTGAAGCTCGTTTCTGGGATCGAGGTCCGTAACAACTTTTGAATAAATTAACAATATCAATAGTATACCTGCATTATGATAACAGAGAATAAATATTGACCATTTCATCCCAAAAGGAGAACTCCGATTGTTTTTTTTTTCTGATTTATCATATTTCCTTTTAATTAATCAGATACATTTTATCAAGCGCAAAGAATAGGCATTTAAGGCTGATAAAAACGAGGGGCACAGATATTTTTAAATAATGATGCGAAAGAAAATAAAGTTACTAATGAGAAAAATAACTTTTCCATTAACGGATAAAATTACGTTTCCAATATTTATTTTTAAAACACTTAATGGACTTAAATGCGTTCCAGACATAAATTTAACATCCGTTCGCCTCGTGAAAGAAGAGTTATTTCTTTTATTGGGTGTTTTATTGACTGTCCTTGGGTGGACGCTGATGGGAGAAATACAGGCACGTTTCCTAGTAGGATACGGCGAGGATGATGTAAGCACAATTTGCCAAAGTCAACAGGAGCTATCCTTGTTCATCTTCAGGAGTTCCGAGCCAAACTATAATCAGCTTGCTCAACAACAATAGCGTAGAGAAAAGAAAGAAAAAGAAATAACTAATGAAAATAAGAAAATAAAAAAAAAAAAAAAACTGCCAGAACCAAATTCTATATAGTATAGTATCAAAACAAAACTTCAGAAAATATTACAGTTTTAAAGTTGTACATGTTTTTCTTATTTTTTTTTCCTACTAATATGTTATATTTAACTATAACTATTCAACAAACTTTAGATACTAATTTTACATTAGCAGTAAGATAAAAAAAACGTAAGACATACATAATGTACCTATCTAATTTTCCATCCTTTCAACAAGCGAAAATCATAAATATTTTGAAGAGTTGAGGTTTTTTTTTTCAAATTTGAGACAAAATTATATTTTATTTATATATATTGCACAAGCTATGGATAATGATTCTATTATAATATTCTTTTAGCGAAAAGCGTGCTACGATTTTTTTTTTCTACAAGCGTGAAGGAAACATTTTTTAGTGCGACAAGGGCGCCGAGGAAAAAAAAAATCGAAACCGTTACACTAGACATATAATTTTCATCTGATTAAACTATAATAGCATGACTACATTTTTCATTTTATCAATTTTTAACTAATACATAAGATATATTATGTTGTACATAAAGTACAACACATTAATATATGAATTAATTAATGTATTTGATTATTTTTTTATCCCCCCTCCCAAAAAAAACAGGGCCCTAAAAATTATCCAGTTACAATGAAAATTGTAAAGCCAAATAACAGCAAGTTGTTGAAATTCTAACTTTACATAAGAATTCGCCATTAAGATAACAGCCCCCATAATAAGGTCTTTGCCCTCCGCCACATGACGAGCAACTGACTGTTGATTCCTATTAAGCCACGGTAAAATATGTATCTTATTCCACGTACCGCACTCTTCCAGCGTTAATACTAATATTACGCCGCAAATAAATTATTATGGCTGAAATGACTTCTATAATCAAAAAATAAAATAAAATTAGCAAGTCAATAATAGTCGAATCCACTCAAACCTAGTTTTATACACTTTAATCTTGAATTCAACACGTCAGTATCATGTACATGATGAGTACACGGCCAAGTGTATAAGTGTATAAGGCCAAGTATATAATTAACAAAATAATACTCGGGAAACATAAAATAAAACTGACTTGACAATACCCCTGTCTAGTTTGACGGCTTTACACTAACAAAGGTTTTAATTTAAACTATTAAAAGAAAACTTGGAAGTATTTCAACGTAGAGTACATTTTTAGTTTTTTCTCCTTGTGGAATAAATAAATACGACAAGTATATACGTGGAATAACTATTAGTGTTAAGTATCCTTAACTTTTTTTTTTCTTCCTTTCCTTGCCTTTAAGGCTATACGGGATTTTTCCCGGACCGAAGGAGATGATGGGAAATAATGCCGAGTTAAAAGTACCACAGTGCACCTGGATTTGAACTCATAATTATTTGTCTACCTCAAACTTCAGTTACCATGTTGCCGGGCAGCGCATGGTCTTGTACACATGCGTTAACCCGCTCGCTCCCTCATGTATCCTTAACATGATCTAGAAAAGGCAAAATATAGTTTTTAAGAAAGAGACTTTCCTAAATAAACTCGGCTCCAAAATACATAAATGTTTGTCCCTGCGCTTTATTTAAGTAGTCCTAGGTTGTTTGCATTGTATGATAAACAAACAAACTTTTTAGTTTAATTAACCGACTACGGCGAAGCCACGCGGAAGGTTATGTGTTAGAGTTGTTCACTAAAATGTATGCAACGATTTTTTGAGATAACGGTTAGAAAAATTTTTAAGTTTGGAAACTAATTCTCTTGAGTATTTTGAAATAATATTTAATCTCACTACAAATACAATGGTTTATATATATATATATATATATATATATACAATGTTTTAAATATATCCATTAAAAGTTACACAATCATTTTTGTGAAGACAATTCACCGAATTTTAGGTTAAATAGTTCAAATTAATCGAGAATGTTTTGAAATAATTTAAGCTTGAAATACCGAAGAAATATTTTAAGTATTCAGATTTCATATCATGCCGTATACATTCAATGATCAAATGTGGTGAATATAAATTACCAATACTAAAAAAAAAATGTTAAAAAAAAAGCCAATTTAAATATATACATAAGGGAATGTACTTCCATATCTACTTAAACACATTGGTAGATTTTTAGAGAAATTTACGTCTACATATTCTTAAATTTTAGTGTTCCTGGCAAGTAGATATCGTCCCTTGAACCACTACAAGCCAGCGTCCGAAAGGGTCTTGAGTTTCGTACGTGGTTGAAGGCACCCAAGTTTAAATATTCCTAGATATCAATTTTCACAACAATCTATCAAAGTGTTTCAATAGATATGAAAGTACATTACCTTATGATGATGAATTATATCTGTAGTCGGATTTAAAAAAAAAAAAATTATTATTATTTTTTTATATATTGGTATAGATAGACAAATGATGAATATGTCTCGGAAATCGTGAAAAAATATTACGTGTATTGTTGATCACTTCTCGAATAGAAAAGAAAATTTATTAAAATGTTCTCTTAACATCTTAAAAACAAAATCAGCGGTGCTCTGGTAATTTGATCCAGCTAGATCGACATAAACACACAGCAGCTATAACAACAAACTGTTCTTTAAGGTAAAAAGACTTGCGGTTTCTACAACCAGAAGGACGTTTATAAATAAACATTTCCCAACGCAGCCTGTAGCGATAGATAAAGAAAGTCTTATCACCGTCTAGTCCTTCAGATCAGTGTTTGGTAAATAGTAGCAACAATTTATAGAAGACGGTAGAGGCACAGCTCTACGTTCTTTCCTCCATTTTTAAATAAGAAATTTTATCATTAAAAAAATATATTAATAAATAAATTAATTTTTATCTTGTTCAAGTCTTAGCTCGTCTTAACTTTTCCACTGATTCGGCTAATTACTTGAAAGAAATATGAATAACTTTTTTTTTTCATACTCACCGTATACTTTAACTTTTCTCGTTTCAAAAACAAGTATCAAATATAGATAATGTATGGAACTATTTTTTAAAAAAAATAATAATTTTTAGAAATGTATTTTTAGTGAACATTACCGACTGAAAAAATTCATACTTTATTTTTTGTTGTTCCACTCACTTCATCATTTATGGCATGGCATAGTGTGGTTTGTTGTAGATGTAAAAACAAACCTATTCTAACCAGAGAAGTTCGAGATTGTGTGGGATAAATTTTGACCCGCTCAGGCCGGATTCGAACCGGCGCACACTGAGGCGAGCGTGAGATTCTTTGGACATCGGCTCCAACTTAAACGGAAATTGCAGTATACTGCCCAAATT